TATGGGAAAGAGTAATGATGTAGTGATAAAATTGACCCTCAATTTTAGGGAGACCAAAGCGCCCAGCCGGAAAGTTAGAAACTTCAGCAAACGAGACACTCTAGTGGCCTGCAGGCAAGTGCTTTAATGGGAAGCAGAAAATGAGCAGATCACAGTAGAGGCTCTCTGGCATAGAATCAAAAGTAACCTACAGGAACTCAAAGATGAGTTAAAAACCCCTAAATTTGGGAAAGGTTTTAATAAGCGTCCGTGGTGGTCTCCGGTAATAAGGAGAGTACTAAGGAAAAGAAACAGAAGCTGGAGACACTACGAAGTGGTTAACACCCAGCTGGCATGGAAAAATTACACGGTCCAGAGGAAGAGGACAGTCGGTCTTATAAGAGTAGAAAAGAGAAAATATGAACTAAAGTTAGCGGAAAACGTCAAGCAGAAACCGAAATGGTTTTTTTAGGTATGTACAATCGAAAAGCAACTTGAGGGACGCCATAGGTGCCTTGGTTCTGGAAAACAATATGGTTGCAGCAGACGACCACAGCAAGGAAGTAGCACTAGGCAACTATTTCGCTAGTGATCATAAGATAGACAACCGGACATTAGAACCTAGATGCCAGACCTCTCTTCCACAGAGCATAAGAGTGATGCAGATATGTGCAGTGGATGTGCAAAAGGTGCTAGGGGATTTGGACATCAATAAGGCCCCGGGTTCCGATGATATATATCCTGCCATTGTGAAACCTCTTCCCTAAGTCTTAGCAGGCCCCTTAAGAGTGCCGCTTCAAAAGTCTCTAGAGGAAGGTGTGCTTCCCGGTGACTGGAATACTGCCGTTGTGGTGGCATTACGCAAATGTGGTAGTAGATCTAACCTACAGCACTGCAGACTGGTTAGCTTAACTAGTATTCTATGCATGTGCATGGAAAAGCAAATCAGGACCCATGTCTGTGCCCACATTTTAGAGTATGCATTACTTAGCGTGGCCCAGCATGGTTTTATGAAAAGCAAGTCGTGCCTGACTAACCTCTAGTGCTACCTAGACGAAGTCACTGAGACGAAGGCAGAATGGTGGAGATCTGTTACCTAGATTTTAGTAAGGCGTTGGATTCCGTAACTCACAGACTGGTTCTACATTTGCTAAGTTTTTTCGGAATCCCAAGAACAGTACTTAACTGGATGGAAGCATTCTTGACTAATAGGACATTCTGCGTCAGGATGGGAGAACAAACGTCACAATTCCTTAATGTCACCAGTGGCGTGCCACAAGGGTCGGTGTCAGGCCCGCTTCTTTTTCTGCTGTTCATAAATGATCTAGCAGAAATTACCAACTCACCTTGATTCATCTTCGCTGATGTAAAGGTGGTTGGATCTAGTGGAAGAGCTGACTTAGAAGAGGATACTGCAGAGGTGGTTAAGTGGTCCCACACATGGGATCTGGCACTAAATGCAACAAAGAGTCAGTTCCTCTCTAGAACTGAGGAACCTTTGAAGGCTCTCGGTGACTGGGGGAAAATCGAAGTAGGCACTGTAACCAGTACCAAGGATCTAGGAGTCATAGTAACTGCAGATTACAGTTGGAGTACCCAATGTGAAGCGCACATGGCTAGACGACAGCTGTTTCAACTAAGGTCAGCAGTTTCGTGTAGGAAAGCAGACTCATTTATACCCATATACAAAGCCATCGTAAGGCCTCACCTAAGATTGTGTTCAGGCTTGGTCGCCCTTCTGCAAAAAGGACGCAGCCTGTCTGGAGAAGGTCCAGAGACTAGCAACACGGATGGTTGAGGGTATGCGGGGAAAACATACGAAGAGAGGTTGTACGCGCTCGGACTATTTTCACTAGAAAAGTAGAGATTGCGCGGAGACCTCATTGAAGTATTTAAGATTAAGAAGAATTTGCTGGACTTAGATCCAGGGTCCCCTTCACTGAGGCTTCCCACCAAGGAACACGTAGTCATGAGCTCAAACTTATGAAACAGCATTCTAGGCTGAACCTATAAGCTCATTTCTTTAGCAATAGGGTAGTGGATTACTGGAATAAGCTACCGTCTGAACTGATTAGGCAGCCAAACGATGAAGCCTTTCAAAGAGCTCCGGACGACAGATGGTTGAAGTTTTTCCCTNCGGACGACAGATGGTTGAAGTTTTTCCCTGATACAGAATGCTAGGTGCATAAATTGTTTTCGGGTAATATGGAACCCTTTCACGGTAAAAGTTTCTCGCCGACACGGCGAAAAGTGAGGTTTGTCTTACTCTCTGTTTGCAGATAGAAAGAGAAACCTATCAATCGCAGAGGTGCACGCATTCTCGTGAGCACACCACCGAAAAAATTCCGGAAGCTTGATTGGCCTGTGGCCACTACTAGTCCTGTGTAACCTAACCTGACCTGACCTGACTATGGGACGGGGATTTGTTTTCCGTTTAGGGATTAGACCAAGATACAGGTGTAGATTTATTTTTGAAAGCAGATCTTGTTGGGGAATTCACAACTTTTCGGGGGAGGTTATTCCAAAGGGGAATGCCCCTGTGGGCGAGAGAGCACTGACGTAGTGTACGGGCACGCGGTTTGAAGACTTTCATACTATGACCACGAAGATTATCATACTAGTGCGCACAAAGAAGTCATCGGCCCTGCCGGAATTAAAGAGATTGTACAGCAGGAAGATGTCACCTCTTATCAGGCGGGTTTCAAGGGGGTACAGTTTCAAGATGCAGAGGTGAGTAGAGTAAGGGGTGGAGGACAGGCCATGCACAAGTTTTGTCGCTCTCTGTTGTACACGCTTGAGGGCCGTACAGTCGTTCACGAATCGGGAGTGAGCAATTTGACCCCCATATTCCAATGAAAATCTTATGTATGTGCTATAGAGAATCTGAAAGTCATCTCCATCTATTCCGGGGAATGAGCGTTTTAGGAAGTTGAGAATAAGGAAAGCGGATCTAATAGCATTTTGTTGATGGTAAGAGAACGAGAGTAACCTTTTCAGCCAGAAACCAAGAATCTTATGATGTTCTACGCGGCAGCTTGCGGGACTCCAGTAGAAATGGAAGAGTTACATGTGAGCGATGAACTTACGTGAACCGAGAAGGTACGGTTGATGAGAAAATCGAGAAGAAGAGCGAGGAGTTTGCCAGTGAGTCCGTATGACTCGAGCTTATAGAGCAAGGGAGCGTGGGGGACACGATCGAAAGCTTTGGCAAAATCAATGAAAATTGTGTGAGGAATCAAGCCGTCATCATGGGCTTGTGTTAGACTGTCTATGACAGATAGCATATTGGAGATTCAGGATATGCCAGGGAGGAAGCCGCGTTGGGTATGAGAAAGAAGTTGATTGTCTGTAAAGTATTTTAGAATTGCTCTTTTAAAAACCCGTTCGAAGACCTTGCTGGGCACGCCAGTCAGGCTGATGGTTCTATAACTACTTGGAGTGTGTCAGTCCCGTTTTTTGAATTGGGGGGATTTGATGCCGCTCTTTCAGGATGAAGGGAATGTTCCAGCATCTAGACACTTTTTAAAGAGGGTGGAATAGTACGGGGCAAGAACCTAGACAGATTCTTTTAGCACTTGAGGATGTATACCATTTGGTCCCATCGAAATAAAGGGATTCAGAGATTCGAGGAGCGATTCGGTCTCCCCTGGAAGAATGAGGAAATATTATAATGGGGATGGTGTATTACAAAGGAGGAGACTGGAGTGGGAAGAGACAGGAGGAAAGTTAAAGGCGGTGTCATAATGAGACTGGAAGATTTCAGCTACTTGAGTAGAGGAGGTTACAGGATAGCCGTCAGGTAGCTTGAGAGCTAGTGCAGAGAGGGCTGATTACGTTTTGCGGCGGAGTGATTTAGATCAGGAACTACGGTTAGTTCTAGCACGAAGAAGAATTGCTTTCTGTTGTCTACTGTGGAATTCTCTAACTCTCAGCTTACATAAGTTGTGGATTCGCTCGAACTCGACAGCAACAGTGTATTTCATACTGAATTGTTTGAAAATCCTTCCGAACCCATAATGATTTATGGTGCAATAACTCTATCTGTGTGTTGCTCTTATATTGACATTTCACGATCATGAACACCACACATCATTATTTATCTGTTAACTCTATGCCCGGGACATTTGAATTTTGCGTGGTTTGAGAACGGGAGCGACTGTTTGCCTCTCTCTGGACATCTTATTTGGCTCGCTTGTTTGAGTGCTTTTGGCCGCATATTTGAGGTTTGCTTTATTGTACACATTGTAATAATTTCGTTAATTCAGTACCGTAGAAGATTGCGGATCAATTGTGTTTTTACTTCGGGATTCGTATCGGTTCGGCTACGCGTCACTCAAGTGCGAATTGGTTGACGTACAAACAGCCTCGAGCCTATTACACTTTAGTCTCGCGAATGCACTCGCCCGCTCGTCCATTAGGTGTCGAATGGAGCGGGGCAGGGGAGGCCTATGTTCAGATACAGCTTGAACTCTAGGAATAAACAAGTGATCCGCTTCGTGAGTTAAACTCTCGAGCAACTCATTAAGGTTGTTCGGGTCAGTATCAATGTTGCAGGATCCAAGCCTGTTGGCCAGGAATTCTCGTAAAAAAGGAAATGGGCTCTTTTGAAAGAAAGTAGCATTCTGGAAGAGAGCTTGCAAGTGTGGCTTCTTGTCGCGCGCCAATTGCCGCAGTTCAAGGATTTNAAGGATTTTATCATTTATACTGAGGCAATTGTCTGATACGCACTTCAGCACCTGCTCACTGTGTTTCAGTAGGTCTAGTAGAATGATAGGGGTCGTGGGAGAGTTTTGGAGTGCGGATGTTTCAACGATTTTGCTCCGAGGTTGTCGTGGCACGCGTGAGAGCGTGTGTACGTCAATCAATTCGCACTTGAGTGGCGCTTAGTTGAAACCGATACGAATCCCGAAATAAAACACGATTGATCCGCAATGTTCTACGGGGCTGAATTAGGAAAGTCATATACAAAATGTAAAACAAAGCAAACATCAAATATGCGGCCAAAATCACTCAAACAAGCGAGAACCAAATAGGATATCCAACAAGAGCCAACAGGTCAGTTAAGTTTTCGATCCACGCCAAATTGAAATTTGGTGGGTATCGAGTCAACAGAGAAACAATAGTGTGGGTGTTTGTGAGTGAGAATACGTCAATAAACAAGAAACGCAAGAACAGAGTTACGTCAAATGTAATTATTGTGAGTTGGGAAGGATTTTCACAAAATCAAAATGAAATGCACCGGCCGCCGACATCCTTCCTGCGCGCGTCTGAGTCAAAGGGTTGGCGCAGGTCACTGATTCTTGCCTACCAATGTACCTACCTAGCCCCTGCTGTCAGTGCTTCTATCTACGAGCTGTTTAACCCTCCCCGCACTCATCGATCTTGACTTCCAATGATTTTCACGTCCGTTCGTCAAGATCTACCCTATGCATCAGTAAGCTCGTAGTCAGTCACAGTGGGTCAAACGTCTATCATTACAGCTGAAGTCTCGATGTGTAAATAAGGGGCACATGTGAACGGCGTGATTGTTGTTCGTTTTTAAAAATGAAATCAGGTTCAGCATACGAATATGGTGTGTCTGTAAATGGATGAGTGTTGTGAGGACATGGAACACACCTCCGAGGTTCATATTATAAATGGTGTATCAATCAAAACAATAAATAGACGCTCAGTCAGGAAAATGGGATAGAGAGGAGGTATGGTATGGGAATGGGAAAACCGCGTTGTCCTGGGGCGCAATTGGTAAAAGAGACAGGTATGAATATACACGGTGTGTCTCCATAACTTCATCACCTAACTGCATGGTAGTCATCTCCCTCTAATAAACATGCTCTTCGAATGTCTTGCACCTGTTCACCAGTAGATGTTTTCAATTTCACTGTTCTTACCAGTCCGTCGGGGTCCGTGTGGCTTTCTATGTCTACACCCAGTGGCCAGTTGTCGTGTTGTATCTTCTCGTCGGCGAAAAGGACAACGTCTCCAACCTNTGGTGACGGGTACAAGCGGTCGGTTGTTAAGTATCCTTTCCGCCTCTACCAGAAATGTGCTGAAAGTTTCATCATTCGGCGCCTGTTGTTCACATCACGCCGTCAATATTTTTCGCACCGACCGTATAATCCGTTCCCAAACTCCTCCGCGGTGACTGCTGTAAGGTGGGTTGAAGTGCCGTTGGGTCCCAAATGGCGACAGTCGGTCTTGCAGGGCGCGTTTGTCTATCCGCGTCAACCGGTCGCTCAACTCCTTTTGTGCACCGACGAAATTGGACCCGTTGTCGGAGAACACATTCGATGGATTACCTCGTCTACCAACGAATCTCTGCCAGGCCATAAGAAAGGAGTCGGTCGACATGCTGCGCACGGTCTCTATATGCAAAGCTGGCGACTGCAGGCATGTCATCAGGCATCCGTACCGTTTCTCCATCGACGTCCTTTGTTTCACCCATAGCGTTCCGAAGTAGTCCACTCCTGTTTCGGCGACCTGGTCGTACTCGGGAACTTGGTAACGAGGCCATCAATTGTTTGCTGAATGTGGCATTCTGCCGACGACAAAGAAACAGTTGCCCACGATGCGCTTCACCGTAGCTCTCCTTTTCACTATCAAAAACCGACGGCGAATCGTATTGAATGGGTGATTTTCTCCGGCATGACCTTCCTATATGTGAATATGTATGATGAGTTTGTGCGTGATGTGGTGATTGTTGGGCAAGATGATGGGGCGTTTAGCGTCAAAGTCCATCTCAGAGTTTGTCAGTCTGCCGCCTACTCTCAGCAAACCATCTACCAATATTGGAAAGTCTTCGGAGAGAATCGCAACGTAATGCACGTCGGTCGGAGTCACGATTCTCCTTGCCTAACCTCTGAAGCTCCGACGGGAAGGCCTGTGATTGAACCATGCGAACAACATAGCTTCTGCTGTTTTCAATTCAGTTAGAACGATGAGCCCAATATTCAGGGTGTCGTCAGGTCGGAGACATCTCATAATAGCGAGTTGTTGTTTGAACCTGGTCCACCAGACAATCCCCCTCAGCACCTTCGTCCACCGTGAAAAACGATGCAGTTTCTGGAGTAGAATGTTGGTTGAAGCAGCGACTAACGTAACGGTCCTCTTAGTTTCCAGTGACTCTGTTCCGGCTAGGGGAATCTGAGTGTCGGGCCATTCACTAGACTGATCCGTCAAAAAAGTTGGTCCATGTAACCATGTTTTGACTTTTCAAGTTCAGCACACCCCTGGAGCAGTAGTCGGCTGGATTGTCGCCAGTTTTTACGTGCCGCCATTGACGCACCTCAGTTTCTTCGTGGATGACAGCTAGCCGGTTGACAACAAATGTGTTGAATCTTGTCCGTACATTGTTAACATAGTGAAGAACTATGGCGGAATCAGTCCAGTAAGTCACGGTACATTCGATAGAGTGAAAACACCTCTTTAGCATCTCCGCCATCCTCACCGCTAATACTACTGCGGAAAGTTCTAACCTGTGTATTGAGACTGCCTTTGAAGAAGTGACCCTAGCTCTCGCGGAAAGAATACTGCTGTCTCCTTCCTCCTGGCCGAGACGAGCAGCTCGTATCCAACCTCCGACGCGTCCACAAAAACGTGTAACTCACTTGACTTCCCTCGGCTTATTCCTAGAATGGGACGAGGGAACCGTATATGGCCCAGCTTGGATAGGCTCAGCCACCAGCCTTGCCATTTCTTGTGCTCCGCTTCGCATAGAATCTCATCCCAAGTTACTTTTTTGTACACAGGTCCCGCAGCAGAATCTTGCCCGGCAGTACCCAAGGTGCATTAGGTCGTAAAGGCTGGCCAACGAAGACAAAATTCCTCTGCGAGTCACTATCTTCTCAGATAGCTTGAGTTGGAACCAAAACTCATCTTTTCCTAGTCCCACTGTACACCAAGTGCTCTGTCTGTTGGTAACGGGCTTCCCTGTACGTCACGGAGATACGGTAACTGTTCCTCAAACGGGATGCAATCAATTGCTTGACGGCTGTTAGACATCCGCTTGGTTAAATTGAACCCTCCCATGAGCGGTAGCTTAGATAAGTCGCTAACGTGTCGAACTGCTTCCTCGATGCTATCAAAGGATCCAAAGAAGTCGGTTACATAAACATTTTGTTTAACACAGGAATCAACCGGGGTTTGGAACCGCTGAGAAAATTGATTCACTGCCGTTTTTAGAGTGAAGTTTGCACAGAAGGGAGAGGATATCGCGCCAAATGAGTGCACCATCATCTGATATTCCTGGGGAGGTCTGTCTTA